TGCAGCGCTCAAGTTTATTCAGTGAAATCGTAGCCTTTTGAAGTTTAATCGTCATATTAATCCATATAGCAATTCTTGTCTTTCCGTCCCCAAAGACCTCTTATAATTTAGACTTTTTGTACCATTTAAGAGTTTGCATGGCCTTAAATCTGAAGACGTTTTAAGAACCCGCGGAAACCCTAATAAGAACATAGTCCAGTGCAAACATTTCTGTCATGCATTTGGCAAAAAGCTTTTGTTGACTATGAATTTTACCTTTGAAATTTGAGGCAAGTGCAACTCTGGCATCCCCGTTGTTTGTGAGCAGTGGTGTGATGGCGATTTAAATAAAATACAGATTTCCAAACAATCCAAACATATGGGTATCCCCTTGAACTTGGTAAAAAGATAATCTGTTTACCATGTTGACTTGAAAATACTGTTTTCATGGTCAGTTTTTCATTTATTATTTGCTAATGTTAATGAATGTTTACATTAGAGTGCACGTCCTACTACGCTGAAATTAATAGGGGAGCGGCTGGAAATATAGCAACCTCTCCTGGTTGGAGATAGTATTAACATCATAAACTGAAAGCAATCTTTACGTGACTTGCTATTCAAATGTTTTAAAATTGATCATCCGAGTCTAATATGATCCAGCGGGCCATACTAAAAGACACTGCGGACCGCCAGTTGCCCATCCCTGACATAGTTAATTAAAACAATGGTTTGTAACCTACGAGAATTCCAGTCTACTTAATTAGTTTGGTGCCACTATAAAGGCCCTGGTACACTTTTAGTGAGGTTTTTCACTCTGGGATAAATGAAAGTTTGAAATAGCTTTTCGATGGTTTGTGAACATCTGATCATATCGATGTCGATATGTTTGCGCCAGCTCTACAATTCGACACTCTAAGTACATTCATGGTTTTACTCGTGTCTAACCTCGACAGTCTGAAAGAAATTAACCTTAAAAGATTTTCATGTCAAAGAGGGCAGAGCCGTAAAGCACACCCACCTATTATGCTATCGTCATGAACCAGTAGTGGCTTGATGGTGTTTAAAAGTCAACACATTTTCTAGAAACGAGTTTTTTCGAATCAACAAAACAAACTCAAACATCTTTGTTTTGGCCAGGTTTTTAGGGGCGTTTATCTGACACCGCTTCGAACTTTTGCGGTTTGGCTGTTCACTAGGGCTTTCGCACCAGAGGAACCTTTCCATAGTTCCTAGAACTATTGGCGGAATTTCCCACTTTTTGATGTGTTCGCTAGAGGTCGACCGATGTATCGGTTTTGCCGATTAATCGGCACCGATAGTTGATTGCTGGAACTATCCATGCCGATAGTTTTCCGGGTTGCGTCCATTGCTGGAGTGGCTGAGAAGGGTCTGCTGTCATTAAACAGTGCGAGAGCGCCCTCTAGTGGTTGAAATCACTGACAGCACGTGCTATTTGTTTAGACACGTGATGCTGCACGCTGAACAGAGCGGGAAACTTCAGACGCGGATTTAAATGCAGCCGACAGAAAATCCTGCCGCGCTATTCACATAGTTTTCCATTGTATATAATTTTAATGCTATAGCCTTTGTGTATATATTTAAAGATGTGCATCTTTAAGCATGACAGTTGAAATTAAGTGGCAACACTTTAAAATAAGAGTCCATTTGTAGCATTAAGATTAATGAAAGCTGTGTAAGTATTGTTCCTTGTTCCTTGTTAATTTCAACATTTACTATTACTATTATTATTATTTTTACTACTACTACTAGTATGGTTCAGTACTGTTTTTGTTAATAAAGCACTATTTTAGTTTTTGTTCGGTATCAATTTTAAAACAATCGGTTAATTAATCGGTATCGGATGCAGGAACTAGGAATGTATTTAGTTCTAGGAACTCCATTTGGGGGAACTAAATTAGCTCCTACTTCAGAGTAGGCTCTAAAACAGTTCTATAGGAACTACCAGTGACGTAAATGTACGCAGATTGGCCAAATGCATATGAAAAACACTGGCTACCAGCATTTTTAAAAAGCCCTGTAAA